GAGGAATACGTGTAGCGAGCCCCCTTCCTGAGGGACTGGCGGATGAGAGATCGATCACTTGTAATCTGGAGTAGCGAGGAGATAATTCTTTCCCGGAGGCGGCAGGGGAAGCCTTGGTGTGAGCCGAGGAACACTTGCTTTGACAGTAGCGGCCACTTAATCCGTGCTGGAGCCGAATGTACGCACATCGGCACCCGACTGTGGTACGACGCGCCGATGGGACGAGACACTTAGTGAGTGCGTGCAGAAAGGGATGTGAGTACGAGACGGGAAGTGAAAAATATAGTCTGGAAAAGACCCGTCATCAACTGGCGCGTTCCCGGCCGCGCCGCACCAACGCCGCTGAGAGCGGTGCGACGCTCGCCGCTGGCCTATATCCTGGGCGACACAAGGGACTCGTGCAAGCAATACGTCGTCGACGCCGCGTAGACTGCGGCACTGGGATGCCCGAACGGCGCGACTGTGAGCTGGAAATACGACCGCCGGCGAGGCAAAGACACGGAGTAAGAGAACTCGGCCATAGCGGCCGTTACTAAGTTAGATTAGTTTTAAGTAGTTGGTCAGTTTATTCATGTACTGGGGCTTCACCCCCACAGCATACTAAGGATTAAGTTTTATAAAATGCCTTCTCTGTCCTTACGTAGTTGGCAATCATGCATGGTCACTCTAAGGGAGTCTGCCGGACGAAGCAGCGGGCAAGCTGATCGCACGAAGGAATCGGGTAGTCGGTGGGTCGGTGGTTAAATATCCTAGTGTTGGCAGTGTTTCGTAATTGGATTGCAGTTGCTGAGGAAAAATTATTAAGTGTATCAATTTAAAGTTACAATCATACACGATCACTTTTAATTACATGGTCATTGAATGAATGAGACTATAAAAAAATGTAGTTATTAATTCAATGGTATTGGTTTACTAATTCAACTTATCATTTACACGGAGTGTTACTAGCGACACTTCAATTTCAAGAACGTTCTGGGACTGCTATTTTCTGTATACCTTTGCATTGGTTAAGTTCTGTAAATGAATGTTCTCGGATGAGATATTGAACTCACAAACAATCAAATCGGAATGATGGTTTAGATCATCTGATTTGATAGTCAACACCAGATAAATAATGTTCTCCATATATGAGAACCAACAACAGGTGATATTCTTTATTATAACATTGCCCATGTTGAAATAGACGGGGTCCATTATCTCCAAGAACTTGCCATGGAAACCAAGCTGATCAACAGTAAGGACAGTGATTTACCTGTCTTAATAGCCATGTGGTTAATCAACACTACTAGTGAGTGCGTGACAGAAAGGGCCATGTGAGTACGAGACGGGGACGTGAAAAACTATATCGCGAAACGACCCGTCATCAACTGGGCGCGTTCCCGCCGCCGCCCGCACCAAGCGCCGCTGAGAAGCCGCCGGTCGACGCTCGCCGCTGGCCTAATCCGGGGCCGCCACAAAGGGACCTCGTGCAAGCAACGTCGGTCGACGCCCGCCGTCAGACCTGCCGGGCGCTGGGATGCCCGAACGCCGCACCTGTGAGCTGGATCACGACCGCCCGGGAGGGCAAAGACACCGGAGCTAAGATGAACTCTGGCCATACCGGCCGTTACTAAGTTTAGATTAGTTTTAAGTTAGTTGTAAGTTTATTCATGTTACTGGGCTTCACCCACACGCAATACTAAAGTGATTAAAGTAGTTTTATGAAAATGCCTACGTCTTTCTCTCACGTAGTTAGGCAATCATGCATGCCTCCCTCTAGGGAGTCTGCCGACGAAGCAGCCGGGCAAAGCTGAATCGCCGAAGGAATCGGGTGAGTCGGTGGTGGTCGGTGGTTACAATATCCTAGTGTGCAAGTGTTCGTACTTGGATTCAGTGCTGAGAAAAATTATCCAAGTGATCAATTTCAAACGTTACATCATACACAGAATCACCTTTAATTACATGTGCATTGCAAGTAATGAGACTAGTAAAAAAATGTAGTTATTAATTTCAATGTAGTTGTTTACTAATTCAACTTAATGACATTACAAGGAAGTGTTACTAGCCACTTCAATTTCAAGAACGTTCTGGGACCCTGCCTATTTTTCTGTACACCTTTGCATAGGTTAAGTTCTCTGTAAATGAATGGTTCATGGATGATGATATTGAGTCACAAACAATCAAATTTCGGAATGATTTGGTTAGATCATCTGACTTTTGATAGTCAAACCAGATAAATAATTTGTTCTCCATATATGAGGAACCAAACACACATGTGTGATATTCTTTATATATCAACCATGCTCCTATGGTTGAAATACACTGGGGGTTGATTATCTCCAAGAACCTTGCATGGAAAACCCAAGCTGCATCAACAGTAAGGACAGTGATTTACCTTGTTTATAGCGCCATGTGTTCAACCCTTCAAGCACCTGACTGTTGAGCCAATCTGAAAAATACTCCCTGCATTAGACACATCCTTCAATAGTTGTTTGCCTCCATACTTTTAGAAAACAGACAAAATGAAGCAACATAACATTAGTGATCTGCCTTACTTAAACATCTTCAAATGTGCAGGGAGTGAAGAGGACCTTTCAGAGACCTTCAAAAGTTTGAAAGGATTATGCCCTGAACTATCTGCCTACTTTCATCAAAACACATCATGCATTTCAGGCTAAACCCATTAAAAAAAATTGTAATACTACAAAAATACTTTTCGACATCCCCTACTAACTAGTTGGTGAATGAGACAACCAGAAGATAATTTAGTAAATACCACTGCAGCCATTCAATTAAAAAAAACAAAATGATTCTCATCTTTGATACAGGAGAATACTTTGTAAAAAAAAAGTTTGAATAACATTTTTGTATTTTATTGGAGTGAAAATGCAAACAATATTGGTATATTAGATGTAAATAATATTTGGTTTGTGGAAATTGTATTGTGTCAACATGGTAGGGGAGAAATAGTGTGAACCTGAAGTAAAAACAAATTATTTTTGCTAATATTTGTAGCAAACCTTGTAATATTCTGAATTCTATTATTGATGTATATAAATTCTATTAATTATAAAAACAAAATTCATAATTGTAACAGCTATTTATTTCTTTTTTCTTATTACAATCTCATCAAAAGGATAGTAAATGCAATGGTAAATCCATTTTCATGTACTGATCCTGTGATATTTTGTTTTGTAGTGTTTCTCTCTCATTTGATGAACATCGCTCTCTCAAATTTTGAAGAAGTTAGTTATCAACTTGCTGATAAGTGTATTAATGAAAATGCATACGAGTATTATTATGTAGTTAGATATGGTAGTTTGGGATTTTTGCTTAATTTGCCTCAAGGAATGATTAGAATGACTTACACGATATACTTTTCACTTGCTTCTGTAGGTGGGAATATCTCACAAGGAAGCGAAGAAGTATACATCACTAAGTTGGATCAATACCAATTATTGCAAATGCAAACTGAATTTGAAAAAAAATTCTAACCAATGTCTGGTATACAAAATAAAGTACCATATTTACACATAAGCAAGTTGGCTCTGATTAAAAGACAACCCCCTCATTTGGGAGAGCCCTCTTACCTCCTTTTTTAAAAATTTTAAACTAATTCTTAGTATTTAGTGGCCAAAAATCTTCAAAATTGACTAGAAAATTGTTAGCCTGAACTATCAGTTTTCTTGTTCCTTAAAATCATCTTGGTCATGATTTTTGTCACTACCGTTTTCATCTTTACATTGTTTCCTTTTGGCCCCTCCCACACCGTGTTTTCCTCTCGACTTTGTAGGCTCCCACTAGGTGTTGGGTGTTGAATTTGATTTAATCTGCTGCCTGTTGCACTCTTGTGCATGGGCTCAAACTTTTTAGTTCTTTTACATGCTAACAAAATACACTTTTTCCTTTATTGATCTATTCAAAACTTCTGGTCTAAATTGCCCGACAAATTCACTATGGATACCAATAATACATTCATGAATTATAAGTAGGTATTGTAGATACACATTATGGCTCATAATTTTGTCACCCTAGTTCCTTTTTGGCATGGAAGACAGAGTAAAAATATAAATCCAAAAGCTGAGAATATAAGACAACCTTGTATTTTTCAAATGAGATATTTGGAAAAAAGCCTTGTCATATTTTCGTAATTAATTTTTCATAAACTGAGTGAGATGGCAAATTTGATTTCTTTGGCTAACTGATGATTTAATGCATCTAAATAAAGTTCAATTAATCACTGATCTCAATGAATGGAGAATGATCAATGGCAGAACCATGATTTCTGTGTGTGGGAGGATAATGTACAATTAACTTGTACTGTTCAGGGTGGCCATTTTTTGGAGAGGCCAAGAAAAACATAGGGAATTTGTGGAAGAATCGTTACACATTGGAAAAATTTAGAGATGATTATAAAACTTTGATATTATTCCTAAAAAATGGTATAGCTTTATTTTTTGTCCAATTTCTATTTGTTGAGTTTATTTTAATTTTTACTTCATCGCAGTGAAATCAGAGAGCTAACAAAAGTGTGAAATATTCTACAAATCTGATCAACGAAAAATTTAAAAAATGCTCTGGAAAACTGGGAAAAGTCAGAGAAAATTACTTCAAGAATTGGAGTGGCCACCCTACTGTACAGTCCAGCTGCCTTGAATTTTTCATTAATTCTGAATTTAATTTGTTGACATAAGATTAATTTTAATATACTCAATTGAAATATTGAATGACATTTAGTTATGAAAAATAAGAAAATTGTATTTTCAAATGTGTCTTTGGACTCCCCATGTGGGGTATACGACTGAGAATGGCAATTTAGTCAAATAAGTGTTTACAGAACGTTATTTTGAACATAAAGTATAATAGGCAGTGTGAGCAACAGTACAATCTGCCAGAAAAGCAACTGGCCTAGCCAGACTACTAGCATACTAGACAGCAGTTGGGCCATTGTTGCACTCATGGTCGCACTATATCTATTAAAGTCAAGAGGCAACAAGGAGGCAAAAGGTTGTTAGTGATGCATTGTAATTAAAATCTAACTTGGTTACTCTAGGTTCAAAAAATTTTATTTTTTACTGATCTTCTGTGAGACTGAACATGGTTTCATGTGTATTTCATCGTACCAACAAAAGCATTGCATATACAGAGTAATTGTATATAAACCTATACAATATAAAATCATTATAAAAGCTCAGTAAAAAATAAATCTTCCCCATAAAATACAATATTACTGCTGTTTGAAATACCTCCCACAATAACTTTTCAAGAAATAGTTTTATTTTAAATTGTAGAAGAAATGGTAAAACAGGCTCATATTTGTTTCACATATTTGTTTTTTTCATAGGAAGTAAACTTGATTATGAGTCACTAAATAACAATTATTTATGTCAAATACAATACTCCAAGCAAATATTTCAACTCTGAATTTTGTTCTAAACCAATGATTTACATTATAATGTTAATCCAGGTTAAAACAAATAATTTACTTAAGCTATGTAAAAAATATCAATGAATTTTCCTTTTCCCCTTACAATGGCAACTAATTGTGCTCAGTATCACTAATACAAATACAGAAATTAAAACAGATCACAGCCAAGAAACTAGATTTAAACTTAATTTTGGCAGAAATACAGTTTAACAAAATTTTTCTACACCTGCAATTTGGTTTCACCAGTAAGTTATGGTTTTAATAGGTAAATATAATAGATGTTTGAAAAACTCTTTGTAAACATGACTGATCAAATGGCACATTAGGTTGGGAATAAACCATAACCAATACCTCATTTTCTCTTAATAAAATGTTATTAAATATTAGCACACAACAAGAAATGGTTTAAAATGGTGTCACAAAGTGAATGAAGCCAAAAAAGCACAATGAACTTAAATATCCAGGAAAACCAAGTCTTTCATATAACAATGGTAATACAATAAATTAAATAATGTAGTAAAAGAAGTTCACAAGGGATTTACAATATATTATTTATATTATAAAACTGGGCATGTTACTATACACATTCAATCTTTGTACAGATAATACAATGACCAGAGATCTTAAACAGTCAGACTCATTGCACTTTTAATTCTTATTATCAACAACATTAATTATATAGTATTCACAGATTTAAAAATTTCAAATTAAAATACATGATGGAACAAATTTTAAAGAATGTATTATCACAATCCAACATGTTGAATTTTAACGACTGTTCAGAATATTTACAAAAGATCATACTGAATCCTAAAGTTGATAGAAATATAGTATTTACTGTTCTAGGAAATCCATTCAACTCAACAAAGTTGTTACCTTAGTATTTATTCCTAAATAACAATTGCATACAAATGCAAGAAATATTCTGACACGATACTATGATTTTGAAGACCAAACTTCATACTCTGTTTATTTTATACAAGTAACTGTCCAACAGTCTTTATTACGATGGCCCTCATCTAAGAATTAACTAGGACTATTCTGTTAACAACTTCATTTTCAGTTCAAGACTAGCTGAAAAGGGAAGATCAAAACTATATTCTGTGTATTGATGGAATTGAAAAGTATGATAGTTAAATTGAAGTCCATCGTATCTTTACTTTCCAAATACATATCAATGTAATACAGAGATTATGATAGATTTGAACTGATAATATGAAAATTCTTCATATGATAATGGCAATTATGCTATTTACAAAGTTTAAAGATTCTTATTTCATCCTTATGTACAAATTCTACAAACCACAATACAGTATCTATAAAGATATTATTTACAAGAAACCAATGAACATGACTCTCCAAATCACATGTTTCCAATGAAACACAATCCAATTATTCTAGTATTTACATTATTATATGGGTGTCTAAAGTAAGACCAATATTAGTAATACAGAAAAGAAGAAAACAAGAATTAAATGTTACAAACTTCACCAGTATTTAATTAATACTGCAACTAGACAAAATGCTCATTCTAAAGAACTGGCAATCCTTCTGAATTGAGCATGCCTGTAAAATGTCATACAATTTCACTGGCATTGAAGATATTTAATTACAAATTCCTTTCAATAATTCAATATCTACAAATATACATGGCAAGTTACATTTCAATGAAAATGAAATAATGTAAATACTTATTGCATTCCTTTCAGAAAGAATCAATTGGAAGTTACCACATAGTGTATATACATATTACCCCTTCTACCACAGTGATATTGCCCTTTATACCATGTTTCACAATACGTAAAACACATCCTACCTACCATTTTAGTCATTTTCGCATTCTGTTGACATACATTTACAGTTGACACAGCTTTACACAACATTCAACAGTTACATACATTTTTGTTGGTAAACTCCAATCAATAAGATTCTTATTCAAATCCATGCATAATATGCACCAGGAACAGAACTTTTTGTGCCAATGAACTGTTACTCATTGTACACAATCTCTCGACTGGTAAAAGAGAATATAACCAGTTTCTGATGATTTCTGGATATCTGAAGTCAAGCCATAGAAGTCTTCTATTGTAGAGGCATCAATTTTCTAAAAAGGAAAAATCAAATTTTAAAATAAGGATACATAACTAAAACTTTCTTTTAGGTTAAAACAGCTCAGTTCGTGGACCAAAAAGAAAAACCCTGAACATGCTTGAGGCCTTGTGAGCTTGAAATGAGGGTTTTCATTTTTGCGAGTATTTTACATGAAGCTTCAACAAGATTTTGAAAATTTTCTCAAAAATTGCTTCAAATTTTCTGATTAATCTTCGTCCTTAGATAGTGTGACGAACACTTCAAAAAATGGCACAAATCTCATTTTCATTAAAATCCCTAATTTTTAAAAATTGTTACTTCAAAATTCAAAAGTTAAAATTTTTTTTGGCATCTTCCATCTCCTACAATGAAGATGTTCTTTTCTTTATGAAATCTGTTCATCAAAAACAGATCTTCACATAAAGTCAAAATCAAATTTTTGACAATATAATAGTTTTTGCATAATTTTGTAACTTTCAAATTTTCCATCCACCATTTGCTAGACTTCAGGAATTCTCAGATTGGAATGCAACACTGGCATTCTGTGCTGCCAGACAGCAGTTGGGAAAAGAACGCCTCAAATCTTGACTAAATTTTTACCTTGTACCTTGTATGTACATTAGGGCTGGTCTCTTCGATTAGTAGAAGTAAATAATCAATTACAAGTAATTACTATACGATTTAGTGAATTTTTCAAATTTGTTAGCCAGTCATCGCAAATTGAGTTATTAAAAAAATTATAAAAACACTTGGAAGTTGATTTAAAAATATATGCTAATCAAATAAAAAAACTTTTTTTTTTTTCGTCATTGTGATTATAATGTTCAGACTACATGTATTATGTCACAGAAAATATAATTAACAGTATAGTTTCAAAACAAAAAAAACATTCATATTGCTTCATTTTTCTGACCCCCATCTCTCCACCCAATTCAAAATCTCCAGCTCACAGGCTTCCAGAAGGTGGCAATCCTAATTGCAAATTACAATTTTTATGATAGAAGTTGGTTTTTTTTATATGAAATCTGTTCTAAAGAAATCAGTTCATTAAAAAGGTCATGTGCATATTTTTATGAGTAGTTAAGCATAATTTAGCAATTTTAAAATTCGGATTTCCTGCAGTCCAGTTGCTACACCTTAGGAAATATATTAGAATGTGACAATGGCATTCTGCACTGTCAGATGGCAATTGGATATTCTGAGAATTCCTTCTCCTTTTTGGGATGTGTCATAGTTGTATGCACAATGTGTAATAGCTGTTTTAATTGTAGAATTTGTATTGATATATTTTCTTTAAAAGAAATAGTTTTCATACCTAATGTTCTATGATTTGTAATGAGTAGACAGACTACCATACAAGGGCACGTTTTTATTTGAGCATCTTAAATTGTAAATATATCTTTCTAAGTAAACTCATTTTAAAAATGCATACTTTTGCCATGCATGTTAGCATGTTTTGGAAGATTTTGTTTGAGAAATTCATGCATGATATATGTTTGGACATTTTTTGAATGAACAGTTAAACCTTGGCATGAGGTACTATTACAGAATTATGTTCTTTAGTTTTCTTAAATTCTGGGATCGCTACCCTATCCCATATACAAGTTGAATTCTAAATAGACAGAATGAGGATTTTTGGCAAGAATTTATAAGAAAATATTCACCATGCTTTTATGCCAAACGATTCATCCATTGTTGCTTTAACAACGCCACACTAGTAACAACAGATTGTAGCATCAGCCACCACAGCTGAGTCGTATAATTAACTTCTAATTTTTTCAGGGTAAAATATGCATTTCATTACTGAAATGTTTGTTGATATATTAGCTTGAAAAGAATTAATTTTCGCACCTAATGTTCTATGATTTATAATGAGTTTTACAAGTGATGACTGAGATGTTTCAAAATGGTCAGGAATTATGTAAGTAATCGCTACTAAGTGTGAGACTGGTGGCGGTGCAGTTGACCAGTTTTTAAAATTTATAGTCATTGTTAGTGGGCGGATTTTGATGATGTTGTCATATGAATGATGAATCAAGTCATATGAATCACATTTTTAAGCCTATTGTCAAAAATGAACAATAAAATGCTCTTTAAATGTTTTAAAAATGCCCTAAAAATCAAGAAATATGAGAAGAAAAAGTTTTTCCACTTCAAATGAACCACTTCAGATGAACAACTCACGCTGTTCGATATGTTAATGATGTAATCGAGACTTCTTCCTTTTGTTCAACTGAACTCAGATTATATCTGTCGGTTTGGACTGTATTTTTATGAGAAAATCTCTGCCTTTATTAATCGCAAAATCAGCCGAACTGGCAATGGCTCCAATAGGCGTCACAGGAACCTTAGTAGTACTCACAACAGCCGACATTACAATATATGAGCGAAGAAATCGAATTGGCAACTCAGGAATTCTGTGATCATTTGTTGCATCTCATCAATTTTGTTTGAAGCAACTACCATTGAAATCAATGAAATCAGTGAAAAATGCACTAAAAATGATGTAAAAAGGTAAAAAAATATATATATATATATTAGTCAATTTCGTGAAAAACACAAATAAATGTCTCATAATAACAAGTCATTTCATTTTCTCACAACTCATAAAATGAATTTCTATTCTAAATGTCATTATTCTAAAGTGAAAAGAAAAAAAATGAAATTTCATTAAAATCCGCTCCCTAGTCATTATATAGTATGTTGAACAATTTTAAAGACTTGAATTTGGGCTCTTGAAGTGGTTTTAAGATGGTTTTAATAGTTTTAATGAATGTCTTTTTATTAAATTACAATGCATAAGCTCTGTCCATTCAGTAATATTCTTGTTAAGTTTACTGCTCCCCTTCTAAGCGAATTGGTCAACAACCCATGGTGCCCACCACATGCACAAAACCAATCTCAAGTCATATGAATCACATTTTTAAGCCTAGTTTGCTTGTGATTTTGACTTAGAATGGAAAATAAATTTCTTGAGGTAAAGAGCGTAAGTAACAAATCAAGGGTGAGTATCAACCTAAAGGACACAAGTGATCCTAGATTTTTTATGTACCATTTTGTAGTTTAAGATAATGAAAAAAATGTCACAGAAAACTTTTCTTTCATTGCAATTAGCATTTGAATTAGGCTTCCTATATTTTACTACTTTGACTTTTACAGGAATCAGTGACTACTAAAAGTTTCTCTTTTGTACAATGGGTTTCATTTAAGCTTTATTCACAGAGGTTGGGTCCTGAGCATGGTAGGATTTAATTCTCCTGAGTGTATAAAACTGTTAAACCCCAACATCTTATGCAAACTAATTTTAAATCATCTTTCTGAATTTTTTTTGTTTCAAAACATACATACAAACTTCGGTCACACTGGCTAGTGGCTCACTACAGATACTGCCTCATACAAGCTCATTTAGGAGACAGTAATAACAATGATGTCAACAGAAAGTGGGAACGGACAATGAATGAAAGTCTGTCCATTCTCACTTGCAATCAGCTGTTCTGGCTTCAGTTTGTGAACATACAAGAATTGAGACTCGCTTTAATTTCTCTGTACCTACTCTGTAACCTCCTCCACCACTTGAAACCCTCTGGAATTTAAGTGTGACTTTAATTTCAAAAACAACATACTTTGTCAAAGAAAACAGTATGTTTATTGTCCCATTTTAATCGTGTTAAAAAAATTACACTACCAAACCAAGCAAAAAATTAACAAGTTACTCACATCAACCATATCATCATCAAATAACAGCCAAAAACCATGGCTTTTAACAATACTTATGTAGTGTCCTCTATTAGGACCACTGCCACAGTGTATCACAACTGCCACCAAATCATAGAGTCTATCAGGATTAACTGCATCATCTGACTGGAAAAAAACAAACAAACCAAAATTTAATATCCATATTCATTCAATTCAATTGGGTGACCTTCATTCCATTATGTTCTATTCCATAACAAAATTCTCAACCTAAACACAAACACGCTTTTCTCTTTTGTTCTCTTCACAGTAGTTGTGAAAACAGAAAATATCTCTCCAACTTTAATTAGGTTTTGTAGAGAATATCATTTCTCAGAAGAATTAGAGCAATGAATGATTTATGCCACATATTACAACCAACTTTTTCAAATGGTTTACATGACTGCTTCAACAGGCAAAACTGTTCAAATATCATTTGCAATTCCAATGGTGCCCAGTACCTATGACTAAGTCTGCTACTTTTGTTGCAAAGATATCGTAGGTTTCTTATTAAAGCGATTCTGGAAATGCAATTAGTTAGGACATAACAGACTTGCAACAAATTTTATAAGAAATGAAACAGGAAAATAATTTCTTCGATGGTGAGTGCACTGTATGATGAATACACTCCTGAGGAAACTTAATCATAATTGAAAAGCTCTTTAATCAGCAGTAGATAAACAAACTTGCAAGAAGCTGTCCATTGACAAGAAAAATAAGAAATTCTCACATTAAGACTGAAAGAAAAAACAATCTTGTATCTGAAGATGTTGTGATGTGTTAATATCCCACAAGACTGAAATGAAAATCTATTTTACAGCAAACTGACTAGTTATCTGCAATGACATTCACACTCTTCAGTCAACTGAACCAAAAAATAACACATCAGCATGGTAGCTCTTTATAGACTCTCCCCAGCAATGTTTAATGCCAGTTACAATATAAAATCACCCACTCCCATTTTCTAGTTCACTTTTAAGTACAAACTATGTACTTAAAAGTGAACTAGAAAATATGAAAATTATTAAATACAATGAACCCTAGAAGAATTTTTGTAAGGACCTACATGTGAGGCATGATGAGCATACAAGGAAGATTTTCTGAACTCTACTTGCTTTTGCTTAGGGGACACTTACTCCATTTCAGAACTTTACATTAAGTAAGATAGGAACAAAAGATTTTCTTACAAGTCTATAAAATAGTGTCTCAATGTTCTTCTCTATTTCATCTGAGCATGATATTTCTTCCTCTTCTTCATATAAAGTTTTGATTAGTTAAGTGTTTGGTGAAGGTGATGGCTAAAACATACTCTGGAACACTGCAGTACCTCTAAGGAAAACTTTGGTACATAAGGAGAGAAAAAAATGAAGGAAGGAATCTTTGTGGGATCACAAATTCAAGACACCATAAAAAATGTCACATTTACAGAAACAATTACTGCAGTAGAACAAGAGGCCTGGTCAAATTTTCAGAGAATGTAAGCAAACCTTCAAGGGAGAAAAAATCTTTAGATTTTGTCTCGTATAAAAATTACAAGACGCAATTAACAAAATCTAAAGATGAAACATAGAATGCCGAGTTGTAGAAACTCACTTGTGGTACATTTTCTACTCTATTTACATTTCTTCCCCAATTTCCATGTGACCGGTTTTTTTGACAGCCACTGATGCCATACCACATTGATCATGCCTGGAGGCGTGGCCTGGTGATCAACATGCAGAAATGATTCGATTTCATTTCACGAACATTGGCTAACGTGTCGCTAACTAAGTAAAATTATAATAAAAGTGTCAGGTAAAATTGTTTTCGATAATGTTGAATTTAATTTTACAGATATTGGAAGCAAGATTGTGATACTGCTCAGACTCCATAAAGGAAGTGTCCAGGAATAGAAGGGAACAAAACATGTGTAGTGGATGATTTTGGACAGGGCTTGATTAGCCACATTATTTATTCAATGTAAGAGAATGGTAAGTAATTTATTTGCATTTGCATGTAAGAGAGTTCCTATGTTGTTTTCTATAATACACAATTTTCTCAGGACAAAGTGTTACTCTGTTACTCTGACAATTTTAACTGCAGTTAAACATGATATTGATATAGTGTTTATGGGGGGAAACTTCTTTGTCTTATCTGCTTCATGCCATGGGATTTTGAATGGAAAAAGAAGGATAATCGCAGGTCTCTAATGGAAAGAAATGACAATTGTATTGCAAGATCTGATTTTTTGATGGAATATATGAAACTGAACATAAAGTTATTAATTTGTGTTTTTGGATGAGACTTGGTTTTACTCAAAAGGCAAGCAAAAAATCTACTAAATTTTGTAGTGTTGAAAATTATGAAATTCTAGATATCAGTGAATGGAGAAGGCATGAATTGCATGTAATGAAATGCATCTTTTGAGAAATAGCAGTGTGTTTAATGACTTATGTGTACGATGAATATTGTGTGTCTAATTTGAAGCACCTTCATAATGGTTCAATATTTTTTCATTTCAGTAGATCATCTTCACTAATTGTTTTTAACAATCTATCCTTTAGGTTATGCGTTATCAGTCATGGCAAGATAAAAATGAGAGTTGCTCAAGCAAAAATTTAGATGAAGGTAAAAGGTATATAGTGCAAATGGTTTCATCGAAGGTGCAGAACTATTGTTTCTGTCAAAAACAAAAGAAGTAGATGAATATCACAGAACTATGACAGCAGAGATGTTCAGAGAAGTGGATGAAAGAAGAATTATTACCTCAGTTAGCAGAACCATCAGTTATTGTAATGGACAATGCACCTATTCAATCTGTACTGGTGAGTGACATTTCATCAATTGTTCTTTTAGAAATGTGAAAAATATTCATTCAAATAATACATTTATTCCTTTATAAAAATAACCGATTAAATAATGAGTATTAAAACTACACAGTGGTGAAAGTAGATGTTTCAACTTTTACTTCCATCACTAAAAATGGTGGAATAGAAAATTTATTACATTCAATGGTGTTCACAGTGATGTTAGTTATGTCAGTAATACAATTTTTCTTAGAGAACATCAACTTTTCCAGTAAAATGTTTTATATGTATTTATAGAGAGAATGAAAAGAAATGCATGTTATCTTTGAATATAACTGAAATACTTAAACGTCCTTTTGTCGTTTCCAATTATTTAGAAAGTCAAAAGGCCTTCGTCAAAATGGAGGAAGGTGACCTGCAGCATTTTCTAACTCAGCACAACATACCCTTTAGACTTGAGCATACCTTTAAGTCTTATGAAAACTTCTGAAGTAGTTGTTCAGAAAAGGTACTCTTAAGCATAAGTTTTATTGAATTAATCATAGAATAAGGCAGTTTTATTTTTTGCATGATTTTGATACAATGTGATTGCCTATGATTTCATTATTTGAAAAATCATATTAGTTGATGTGGGTGCAGATATGTTGTAGATGAAATGATTGAAGAAGCTGGACATAGAGATTTGCGCCTACCCCCTACCATTGTCACTACAATCCTATCGAGTTGGTACGGAGTCAGTGCAAAAGATATTATCAGAGACATCGCGGAACCGCTTTTGTCCACGAAGCAGTGACAAGAAAATGGAAGCAAGCATTAAACCAGGTTTCAGTGGAGAAGAAAAGAAAGTTAATATTAAAATGAAAAACAAAATATTGCTTTAGTTGGAAGAATTATGTTACACTTCTTTACACAATTCTTTTTAGTAATTATTGTACAATTTTATTTTTTTATTAAAAGGAAGAAGTTTTTCAGTTATATGAAGTTAATTTTTATGTTTATGAATCAGGTATGTAAAATGATGAGTTAATGAAAGTATGTGAAGTAAAGGTTTGATTGTGAATGAATGGGTTGAAAATATATTCTAATAACATTCATTCATACTCATCAAAAATGAACTTCAAGTAATAGAAAAATTAGACCTTTTAACAAAAAAGGATTAGAAATGCAGATTTAATGAAAAGTTTTATCTTTTCAGCAGTATGTTAGTTTCTTGTATTGTACATTTTAATGTAATACATTATTAAAATTATCAAAATCGGTTGTTAGGTCTGCTTTGATAACCAATAAAGTGTTGTCATATAAGAAGATACTATACATACATCATTCATTATTTTATGCTCTTTGTAAAAATTCAAATGTATAATTTTTGTTTCAAAATTTTTACTCCTCACCCTGGCAAATGTGGTAGGCTGAGGCTGGAGATGTTAATAGTTGGTGGTGAAAAGCACTTAGGAAACTCATTTTGATTTGTTTAGTTTGACTCTAAATTATCTAATAAAATTTATTGAACTTTAAATGGATTCGGTGGAAATGTATCCTTCAATTAAATAACCATGCCAATAAAGGGAATAATTTTTTCACTTATATGTTTGCTTTTTTGTTTTCTTTCACCTAATTTCTAATTGACTTTTATAATTATATAATAAAGTTATTGCACGTATGAAACGTTTCAATTTTCATTTCTAAGGCAAAAACTTGCACATTGATCATGAAAAAACATTCATCTTTTATTAATTTGAAAATATTATTTAGAAACCTTTTAATGAGAGGCGAGTACAATAATTCATAGGACTTTTTAATCCATTTTTTTATTCTAACTTTTAAGAACCAACTTGATTTCTATATTTAAGAAATTTACCTGAAGTTACTGATCACTTGAATTGACTGAGAATTCGGCCAAACCATACTCCAGAATATGTACTAACTTGTATCCTTTTTCCCACAGAAATCTTTGAATGTAGTGTGAAAATTTTCCAAGATTGTACTATCAGGAGAACCCAGAATTATGAAAAGAAAATAGCAAATTAATGGTAGTTTTATATTAATTATACATGTCTAACATGTCAATTACGCCTTGTTTTATCAGTCAATCACTGAACAAATTACAGTAATTAAGTATTATTACAACAAATTCACAATTAACTAACCATATCTGTAAGTCACTCATCAATAATTGATACACTGGCTGTCAGTCATAAGATGAACAACATGAATATGAAATCACAATTATAAACACCTGATATCATAACAGCAAAACATTATACAGCACACATTAATTCGAATCTTCTGAACACACAAGAACGAAAAGTACCGGCAGAATTCCGATAGTTTTTACAAGGCCTACGCAGGAGCTTTGCAGTATATTCCGTATCATTCTCGTATCAGCTGGTTTAATTCAATAAATCACACATGTTCTCAACAGTATTTCAAAATGTTTTCAATCACTTAGTATAATTATTCATCATTAATGATACGGAATTAAATGAATCTCTCGTGAAAACTGTTTCTAACCTCTACGCGATCAAAATTACATTTAACAACAAAATTCAGTCAATTGCGGCCAGCTGTTAATGTTACTCAGCTGACTGGCGCAAGACTATTTAGCAGAGAGCAATGCGGTCTTAGGTGACGCCCATCTGTTATAGAAGCTGTCATTATAATCGTTTACTGCTCTGAACGCTCTGTAATAAGTGAGACCATGAGGTAGAAGAGAACCAGACAGGCCAAGGAAAAGATAGGAGGATCAGGAACACTCTTCAGCAGTATCTAAAGGAATACTGGACTCAAAGAATTAGGCCACTACACCTAATCCTTTGAGGTTCACAATGATCATGATGATGATAATAAATGAGTTAGCATATTAACAATTTTGGTGGGTGATAGCACACACCTGAATTCAATTTTAATTTTGAGTTGAAAAACAGCTCAGAAAATTATTTTCACATTTCTAATGATTCCAGCAAGATTTACTTTGTAGACATATGTAATTATTCAAAATGGTATTAGTTAGGTTTGGTTTGATGGTGATCCAGAGAAGAACGTTTGTTGCAGGAATTTCCTTGCAACTTTGAAAGAAAAATGAAGTCCACTAGCTCTTTCTGATCAATTTACCTGTTTCTTAGACAACTGAGAAAGATGAATTCACAGCTTTCGCAAGCTTGCAATTACTTCAGATTATTTGCAAAACTCAAGAATTTACTTTTACTGTTACATAATCATACAAAATACATCAACTGTTGACCCAATTCTCAACATTTATGAGGGAAATTCAACAAAAGTGTTCTTTAATATTTAACATAAGCAAATAAAATTCAAGGAGATATTTCTAAAAGTAATTTGTTAGAAGACTTACTGTGTTAAATAATCTCAGTTCTAAAGGAAATACAACCCTATGAGACACTTTAATATGCCTATTGTATTGTTCCATGTATTTAAATCTTTTTAAATGCAACGCCAAAATCATAGGCAATTTCTTGACCCTCATTCGTTTCTGAAAAAAACAAACAACATGTATAAATTAATATTTCTCTAAAAAATAAAAGAAAAACAATTTCAGCTATAACAAAATTAGTAATAAAAATATACATTTCAAAAGTAACTGCACTTTGATCTAAAACATAATATTTTGGAGTATTTCCTCTTTCTACTTTCTCGCGCTTACATCGTAAGATGAGAAAGTTATGTAACCGTATGCCAGAAAACAGTGAATTTTCAGCAGAAAAACTCTCATTGCTGGGCCTTGGTAATGTAAAAAAAGGATAAATCCTGTTGCTACATACAGTAAATTACTTCATCGTGGAAATAGGTGTAGTCAGAATCCATGTTTTGTGGGTCCTTGACACTGAAAAATCGACTGACAGCAACATGTATGTCCATCTGTGCCATCTTGGAAATAGAAATTAATGCTACAACAGTACATATGTTCTCGCGTTATTTGTAAGAGATTAGCTATATTATACTGCTCACACATGTCCCTCTGTCTGTATCCGTCTGTATTCATCCCTAGAGCCTAACTGTTTACCTTGTCCCATTGATTTTCTCCAATTGATATCAATAAACTCGAGGCTCCAGGAGTTTCAACCAAAAAAATTTAATTTTGAGGCTATTTACATGAACAGTTAAAAACATTTTCAAAATTTTCTAAAAAATAGCATCAAATCTTTAGATTACTGAATATAATATTGAAGATAAAGATTTTTTTCCCTTAATGAAATCTATTCTTAAGGACAGATCTTCAAATAAGGTCTTGTCCAATTTTTCTAAAATACAAGTAGTTTTTGCTTAATTTGGATGAAATGTAGGCATTTTTAAACAATTTTTTTCTTTAAATGGTAAAAACACTGTGCTAGTGTCATTTTCTCTATCTCAGTTTTTTTGAAAATTGCAAAAAGTTAGCATTTCAAAATTACAAAATTGAAGATAGTTTTGCCTTAGATAAAGACTGCTGCAAAAAAATTATCTCTTTAAAAATGGTCATGTACAATTTAAAAAAAAAAAAAAAAAGCAAGTAGACTTCGCATAATATGTGTCTGGAATTTATGCAATTTCAAAAAAGACTTATTTTCTCAAAAAACGCTTCAAATATTTTCATTAAATTTTCTTCTCATATGTAACAAAGGGCAGTAAAAAATATGGTGCTAGTCCTATTTTCAAAAATTGCAAAATTTGGAAATCTTGGGTTGAGACAATCTTAGTTAGCCTGTGTTGGAACCTTACTGTTCTTAGAGTAGAGGATAGGCTGATGGCAAGTTACCTGAGGACCTAAGTTCAAGTCCTCGGTGAGAAAAATATTTTTTTCTGGCTGAAAACGCCTTTGCATGTTTATGTAGCAGTATAATATAGCGGAGCACTTACAAATAATGCGAGAATGTAATGCTGTTGCATCACTAGTTTCTTTTTTGCAGGTAGAATACACAAAACATTTATAATGTTATTACTCCAGAATTCAAATATAAATAAAAAACATTAAAAATTCTATAGAATGTTTTTATGTCATTACTCTGTTATCCAAGCAATGCAATCAGAACCAAAATACATTAAGGATAAAAATCTGAAGCAAATGGAACTTTCAACTGACATTGAATCATAGATAATTGAAAAAATTAGCAACAGAAACAATATCCATAAAATATTGTCATCGTTTGTCATGCAACTTGTCATCGTTTTTTAGCGGCAGTCACTGCAACGATTTTGTCAATCTTGATTGACTACCCTATGATCTATTCCGTCAAATCTCAAGTCTTTGTGCTCGATTTTGGTGGGCTTCTTTAATTATGATCATTCTTGCATTTGTTTCTAAAACTGACAAACAAGTTCATCGAAGAAATTCAAAATGATCCAATTTTTCATTTCAACTTGTACTTTGGCCTCCAGAATATATTTCCTTCATCCTTCCCCGTCTTCAGCTGCTCTTCTCCATATCCGTACTCCAAATAATTCTCTTGCATTCCTCTCCACAGCATCATCTCACCTATCTTTCAGTTTTCCCATTAGTCTATTGTCATACGCTTTACTATTTAACGCTTTCTTAGGCATCTTCCTTCCTCATCACGTATCTTGCCCCCTGTAATCTCTGCTATCTTACATAGGTTTGCCACAGGTAACTCCTTATACAGTTGATGTATTTCTTTGTTATATCTTGTCCTCCATGCCATTTTTTTGTATGGGGCCTAAAATTTGTTTAAAGTCTTTCTTTTCAAAGATGTTAATTTTATTCTTCGTATTTTCAATGAGCACTCCTGTATCACATGTATAACACATTACAGGCCGAATAACAGGTTTATATATTCTTAACTTTACATCTCAGTGTATAGTTCTTGACCATAAAATATATGGCAGGCTAAAATATGCTTCATTGGCTAGGGATATCCTTCTCAGAATCTCCTCCTCTTCATTCCCATGGTTTTGCATCAACACTCCTCAATACTTGAATATCACTGCATTTATGATGCCCTTTGAAGGTATATTTTTCCTTGTTTGTACCATAGATTTTGCTTTCTGATGGCTTATTTGTAGCCTCATCCAACTGACCTTGTCTTTTATTAGTGAATATGAGTAATATTCTGTGCACCCCTTAATGTATGACTCATGATATTTAGATCATCTGTGTATGCTAATAGATGTATGGTTTTATTTATCAGGGTATTTGACTTACCTACATCCATCTGTCTTACTAAATAATCCAGATGCATAACAGAATATTCCAAGAAGATTTGATGTAATGAATTTGAAACAGTTGTGCGAGAGGAATCCTACTACAAGATCTTTTACAGAGTCTGATCTTATTTCCCAAGCCTTGGTTCTCTTATATACCCACTCAGCAAAAAAAAAGCAATAAATGATTTCATCTCAGTAAGTGAGTTCGTCTAATGGAATGTTTTGCAGCATATTGGTGTGTGTGTGTAACAATTATATCCAAAATGTCATCATCTAAAGGGCTTCTATTTTTGCTGACAATTAAGGTTTTCAGCAAAGCATTTTTGTCCACCATGAGACCACACTAGTTCCAGAGGCATGTCTTCTTCCTCTTTCTATTTTTTCGTGTCACCACTTCTGTTCTTCAAGATAGACATTGCCTCTTCCCTTTCATGTTCCCCCTCTATTTCCAGTCTGCTGGCAGTTTTCTTGCAATTCTCACTGCCAACAAACAATTCTATTTCTGTTTCCACTCTCAGTTGACTTCCAGGTAAAATTTCTAAATGAACAACATTTTTATCCCCAGAATCTTCATTGGTAATATCACCGCAAGCATTTGTTGGAGGAAAGGATGAAAGAGTAATTCCATTAATAGTATTGACACCATCATCTTTCTCAAGCATTGCCAAAGTCTCATTGATACTAAAATCCTTGTGTAAAAAAACAGCAATACATTGTAGTGATATGCACAGACCCCATTTATGACTAATGTACTACATGAAGTAACACCTATTTTATTAACTGAATAAATTTAATAATTATAAATAATGTGTTCACTAAGTATGATAGAAACTTTTAAACAACTCCCACCAAAGTTGTTGGTATGATACATTGGCAATTTCACAAAAATTCTCACACTTTCTGAATTAAACCTACCTTTCAAATACAATGCAGTGGTGTTCTTCCATTATCTTACACACACAAAATATGACTAAGTTTTTCTCGCACAAATGTGCAGATGACAATGCCAGAACTAAAGTGAGTAAATAGTCTTTTAGAAGAACCAACTTCTCATTGTAAAATTATTTGAAACAACATAACTTAGAAAGTAAGATGCGCAGTGACCTACATATAGGTGGTCAGTCCTATCTGGGTTAATCATTAAAACTATGAACTTTTTAAATAAAATGATCCAAGTCAAATGGTTAGGGGGGTGGGGTGGAGGAAAGCAATGCACTTTCCATGTAAGATATCTTATATGGAGTTCATGAAACATATATGCAGTTCAGCACCAAGAAAAATGACATGAGTGCACTGTACATATTTCAATAAGACAATTAACATGAAAAGATATCTCACCTGAGCCTCTTGATAACTACTGCAATGATCACATTTAAACTTATTATCACTGCATAATGTTTCAGTATTACTGAAACACTTCAAGCAATGAGTAATACTAGTATTCTGATCAACATCTACTTGCAAGTCAAAGAAATCTTCATCTTTGCTACTAACCTGTAATTAAAAAGGAAATTAGAAACACTACTGTCTAATCAGTGAAAAATTAATAGGTTAATATACATTATTAAAATTGGCACTTACAGTTTCACAATTCAGACATCTTGTCTCACTTGTAAGAATACCTTGAAATATTTCATGGACCCATGTGGGTTCTTGTTGAGTTTGTGGATCACCATTACCAGTTTTAGGTTTTGCATTATTCTGATGCCGTTCCGCTACATTAAAATAGAAAAAATTATCACATAGAATTATCCTAGATAGTTTCTAGCAACAAGCTTTGAAACTAATTTTTTATAGTTTAGCATGCCTTTTACACAACAAATGAATATGATTTGTAGAGCTGTTCAAGGTTGAAATTTAACAAAATTTCAACAATTTCAAAATTTCTAGGAAGAACAGAAAGGCAATTTTTAACAATGTGTCAACTCTTTAAGCTACAAGTATCTAGGTTGTCACAGCTCATACGGTTGGGTCACACTAGGTATTGGGTTTTTGCCTCACGAAAATAGGTTTACAAATAATTGAAGTCATTAAGATAAATTATAGAATTCTTATAACTTTTTAATCTTATTCTCAATAATGTTAATATAAGATGCAGTTTTTATTTAGAAATAAACAAAGTACTTTATTTCCAGATTTACTCATAGAATTATTAATGTAGACAAATGTGTGATAAATAGGGAACACATTTTCAGGTAAACATATTTTAAATTGTGTATTCCGGATGCATAACTGTTAGGGGAAAGTTACTTCGCATTATCATGAATCCATAAACACAGAATTTTATTAAATTTACAATACATACTTTTATAGGAAGGATATTTAAATAAATATTAGTAGGTTTTACAAAAAAGATACATATTTTCAAAGATTCCTTTGTTTGATTTTCTCTGAGAGCATTGAACTAAGATTACTTCTAGATTCCACACAAGTTACCCTAATGTTCCTTTGTGCAAGTATATTTCAGATCACTGTTTAAGATGTTTATGTACCCACAAGGGCTCGACAGGAATAAAACATTCTTATAATTTGGCATTAAGACCTAAGTGCTCTACAAACAAAATGAGAAAACCTACAGAGGTACACAACATGACAGACCTAGTGTTTATAAATATCAACCCACAATCAAAGAACACTTGACATATGTAGTTGTGAGTAAACATTTAACAGAAGACACTATTGTGATTTTGCAACCTTGTGAAGAAAAATAACTTGTCCTTTTTCATGCAATAATATAAGTCCTGAAGATATCAATCATTGCATATTGACAAAATGTTCACAGATATTATTAAATAACCGAAAATAAATCCATGTTTTGGTTATTTACTAAACATTTGGGATCCACAAGGTCATTAAGTCTTTCAATTATAACTACTGGGGACTGTCAGCACATCGATATATGTAATATAATTAAGGGCATTGGCCTCATTAGTCTGCGAAAATATGTATTTACTGGAGATAAAGAACTCAACTAAATATTGAGAGGTTCAAATGTGAAAATATGTATTTACTTGTGATAAAGAAAAAAGTAACAACTAAATAATGAGAGGTTCAAATTTAAAATAACAAAAAATTCAACAAATACCTGATATTTGATGTGTGATAAACAGGATATGTGATATTTATTTATATTGTAATTAAATGTATTTAGGAGTTTATTGTACCAGTAAGTATTTTAAAATAATTCAATGTAAATAGATAAAATCCTTGTGTCTTTTCTCTCCACATATTACAAACCATCGCCTCTTCACCTCAACAATGACAATTTTGTTCTAGATTAACATTTTATTCAAATCAGGGAAATAAATCGTCAATTAAGAAACATTGCAATTAACTAATTCCTTTTAAACAACTACATTCAATATTTAAAAAAATCATTATCTATTTACAAAGAATTCCAAATTCTCAACAATTTACATGTAAGATTTGAAGTCCAAGTGCACTTACCTAATATTATTTCATTGATATGATTGATTAGAAAATTAAGAAATTCATGAGCATCTTGTTGCATATAATTATCAAATTCCTCTGCAAAAATAGGAATGAAGAATATTGTTCACAAACAAATGATTAATACTACAGATCTTTTTAACTAGAGTTCATTATTAGAAATGTAATGAATGCAAAAACAATAAAGGAGCAACTAAGAAGTTAATCACCTTTTTCTTTCCTCAAGCGAGCTATAAATTTCTTGGGTGCTATTGAGCCAACTTTCTTCTTTTGGGTAGCAATACTATAAAACAAATCTGCCAGACATGTTAATAAGGTTTCCTTTGTCCTTTTATTTCTAGCTTTGTATTCTAAAACTTTTTCCCTGAATGGTTTGCAAAAATACAATGCTTGCAAAACAGAATTACTGTAACATGTATTTCCAAACTGCAAACAAAATTGTGCATCTCATTAGAACATACCAGTATGCCTTCAATGTTCGGATAAATATTGCATTATTTCATAGAACACAATCGTAGTATTTGTTAGGACAATCAAAAGTATTATCTTATTCAAATTTTAAATTAAATTCTGTTTCCAGCTGCTTGCAAAGTTCACAATACAAAAATAAATTTATACATTTCTAAGTTTCAAATAATTTATTTAATGTATTTCCAGTTTCCAGCTTTATTATACACAAAGGCCCATCCCGAATAAGTTTGAGAAAATTCACTGAGAATTTATTAACATGTTACATCATATCAAGACCAATTTACTACAATGAAGTGTAACACAGAACTGGACTACAGAGGAAAAATGCAATAGGACACTCAAAACAACCATGGTATGGTATCACATGATTATTTTTGTTATTATTAGGTATCAGCTCACGGGCCTGATATCATATTTGTAAGAGGCTCAACAACATTCAGAAACTACTAGAAATAAGCAGAATGGGACTGGGAGCTGCTGTCATCAATTAAGTAGCCCTTCCATAAGTCTGAGGCGAATTTTCCTCCTAACCACCTATAAAGGTTCAAATTTGCTGATTTACTAGGAAACAATATATCCTGTTTAAAAATAGTTTTGGCGAGTGTAAATGCTTATGAATCATAAACAAAAGTAAAGAATGTAAAATTAATAACAGCACATCAAAAATTAATTGTGTTGATATAGTGATATTTCTTGACAATATTCAGGAGAAAAATAACCAATAACTTCCTTTAATTTACATTTTGCAACACCTGATATAAAGTTTTAGACACAAATTATGACATAAATTGCTTATGTAGAGAAGTCACGAGGATCAGTGTCCCACATTTGCAATATGAAATTAATCAGGAAATGGCACACATCATTCTACGTTAACACAGGGTAAATCTTCCCAACAATAACATAAAAATACTCACGTTAACAAGTCCAAAATAATGTTCATTGGGAGGAAATTGATCTGAACCAATATCTCTTTCCAACTGAGAGATGTTTGCACCCTGTCAACAGATCACCATAAATGTCAGAAATATTTCTTTTAATAGAATTTGATAACAACATTTTTGGGGTAATTAAATATTTCAAACAAGCAAATAAGCCGGTCAATCAAAAAACATTTTCAGATGAAATATGATAAGTGACATCATGTAAAACATTGTAATTGGTTATCTTCGATTTTCAATTTGATGGCATTTCGTAAAGAGAATGAATCTGGTGTATGCATTACCATTCTACATCAACAAAAGCAGTATTAAACAATTAATAAGTGGGCATGATGTGCACACCATCCCATCTTCAACATCATCACAAGTTCCACACTACCCTACTTCCATGGGTTAATATAGTTCGTCGCCAATTGAAGGCTGCCATCTAACGACTGGCGAGAGAAACACGAACATCATGTCGGTATGAGAAATTCGACACAATTCGAAAATGTTTTAAGAGTGATTAATTATTCACATTCGTTGAATTATTAAGATACGTTCTGACTAATCGCACAAATATATAACATACACAATAATTATACTCATATTTGGTATTTTTATTCTCAGGAATAAATATTTTGTTGAAACTGTTGAGTTCGAAAATTCTCATACTCGTTGGCACGGCAACCACTACCCTCCTTGGATATGGAGGATGTGAAAACATTGAAACCTCCGCAGCCAAAACGCAAGATAAAGAATCAAGCGGAATGGAAAAGGGAAAAGCGGAAACGTTCTATTATTGCTGGGGAGTCTCACTACAGCGTGAAAGGGGAATTTGTGTCTCGGAAGGAAATAGGTTCCGATTGTAAATGTAAGTTGAAATGCTATGAAAAGGTTGATTGTAGATTGAGGCAAATGTTGTTTGAAGGATATTATTCCTTAAAAAGTTACGATGAACAGAATGCTTATTTATTTGGTCTGATTCGAAAGCATGATGTTAAAAGGAAGAAAAATGTTAACTCTGACCGAAGGACTTGCACGTACAAATATTATGTTAGAAATCAAGGAAAAGAAATACAAGTTTGTAAGATGGCATTTGCTCATATCCATGCGATTTCATTTAGAAAAATAAGGACACTAAGTGAGAAATTGGATCAAAACATTCTCTACCCAAGAGATGGCCGAGGAAAACATGATAATCGTCCAACAAGGACGTCTCCAAAGGCATTAGAAATAATAAGAAAGCACATTTTATATATTTTTAAGTCAGGAGATTTTAAGAAGTTTATTAAAGAAGACAAAACTCACATTCTTGCTACAGAAGTGAATGTTGCAAAACTTTATTTACATTTTCTACAGATGTATGAGCAAGGAGCTGTTGATAATTTGACAGGTATGGTTCAAAAATGTTCTGTCACTCTACTATGCATATTCTATTACTTACAAGTTTCCTTGTTATAGGACAATTGAATCCAGGCTATACACCTAAAGTGAAAAGTTGGTTGTATCGCAAAGTCTTTCATGAAGAAGTCAAGAACAATAGTTTATTTTTGAAAGGAAGAGCAATTTCATCTATTGAAATGGAAATAAGAGGCAAGAAGTTGGCTTATACGAAATCAAACTGTTTGAAAAATCAACCTCAAAAGGGTAGAAAGTTTTGTCGAAAAGTCACTATCCCTGAAGTGACATATTCATCAACTTGCCAGTCAAATCCAACTTCAAACGTTTCTACTGATCATATTGATTCAATAAAAATAAATAGTGCAGAATTAAGTAATATGCATTTTACGACTCTAAAGTCTTCAAGTGATATGTTTTGTAATGATACTGTTAAAACTTCTCTCAGAATTTCTCCTAGTGTTAATAACCCATTAGTTTATGATAAGTTAGAAGATTCCTTGAAACAGAAATGTAATAAAATGTGTCATATAAGTTCAGTGAATCATGTAGAGGAATGTAATAATTGTCCTAGTAAGATATCGACTGTTTATAATGTGTCTTCCGCCTCTGTTATTTCTTCATCAGGTTGTATGAAAACTATATCAAACTTCCATGAAAGATTTGCTGAACCACTTGAAACATCGGTTGATCTTTTTAATTCATCAAATGAAAAACTTCAAACTGAAATAATTTCAGATGATTTACATACGTTTTGTTCATAAAAGCACTATCCATTTCAAATTATACCAAAATTATGTCGTATAAATTTAATTGGGTTAATTAACATGTTGTTTAGTCAAAATCTGTGACCTTGATGAAAAAAAATTGATTTACGGCAACATGTGTCTGTCTGTTTCTGAACAACTGAAGTGGCAAACCTACAGGCAAGATTTTCACCAAAATTGATATTCCTCGGTTAATCTTGGAGATGTTGCAGGCTCTTGAATTTGAAAAGGCTATTTGGTTTTGGGGGTAGTATTTTACATGAAGCCTGAAGACCTTATCAAAATTTTCTCAGAAATGTATTTTTTGTTTCATTTTTTCTTAAAGCAAAGAATGCTTAAATATACGTACATATAGGAGACCGTTAAAATGGTGTAGGTCTGATTTTCATTGAACACATTTTTAAAAGTTGCAAAAGTTTAAAATTTGCCTGGCATTTTCCTACAGCTACAATATTGAATACTATTTTCTTAATGATATCTGTATCTTTTCAAAATATCAGTAGTTTTCATGTAATGTTGGAAGATAAAAGGAAATTTTTTCCTTTCTTTTTGTTTTTTAAAAGGTTTCCTTTAACCTTTTTACTTGGGTGGTGCAAAGTACACTTCTAAAAATGGCTCTCTGAGTTTTAGAAAATGCGAAAGTTACAAATAATGTGAGAAAGTATGTGGCTCTAGCAATTTTTAGTTGTTTTCATTTTTGTATCATACATAATCTTTTACTACATTCTCAACCTTTTTGGCAATGATATCTAAAATGTGTTCTAAGGCAATTCATTTTTTCTATTATTATTACAAAAGCTTGAAACCATTATTATCTTTCATAATCCTTGGACTAATGATACTGTATCCTTCAGGTGAACACTTATTTGAACAATCACAATTTTAATTAACCTACAAATACATATCCTTAAAATGTTTTTTTAAAATAGTTAAATAATAAATGAGCATGACTCGTGTCACAACTGTTCTTTTTCTGTTGGCTTTTTCAATTTTACAAAGTACTTTTTTCTTTCGATAGGCATTCTCTCTTAATTACAGTATTCATAATCTAGTGTCAATTTTTTTTTGCCATATATATTATAAATATGGCCTGGAAGTTTGCCTAAATGCCTTTTTATAATAAAACAATAGTTACAATTTTATGACTTTTAACAATAGTTATCTCTTAACTGTACTCTTGGAGTTGTTTCAGAAGATTTTCATTTTGCCTGTTTTAGCTTCTCTTGTCTATTTTTCATTTTTGTCTTTTCTTTTTTTTTTTTTTTTTTTCTTCTGGAACCAATCTCCATCAAGCTGGAAACATGTCTGTCAGCCTAGAGAACATGAAGAAACTGTTGCATTTTGCATTTTTCTGCAAGCAGAGGCTCCGGATGATGTTAAAACTGTAAATGTGAAAGGAAGAAGATTTCTGTCAAAATTTTTGATTTCTTTCGTTGATACTGACAGGCTAGTTTACTCACATTGAATTCTATCACAGTTTCACTATGGCCTCTGATCTCTTTTGGGAGGCAGAGCTCTCTCTAAATTATACATGATGTACCTTCTCAATCCTGGTGAGTACACAAGTGCAATTGAACAAAAACTATAATCCCATTTTCACTGATGCCATTCCAAGATACAAATGGGAGTCTACTAGTATTTTGTAAAGACAGTGTTGCAAGAGAGAAAAAATTATAGTCATCATACCAGGTGGTCATGTGCAATAAAGATAATAAGAAATATAATTTGATGTTTGTTTTGTAGTGAATTTTCATTGTTTACTTGCCTGTTTGTACCCCCCTCCCCCCCATTCTAGCCAGAATACATGCCTTTACATATTTCTATTTCAGTGAAAATAAATGCCTTTTTGCTAAAGTATTTTAGATAAAATAAATGACTGAACTTCCAGACTTTTTTATTGCAATGGTTTTATGGCAATCTTTTTCATTGATTATTAGTACTTTCATCTCTGCCTTTTAAAAGAGTTTGCTCATTTATTTCCTTAATTTGTGGTGAATACAATGCATTTCAAAAGCAAAGGTGTAAAAAATAAAAATTAATTTGTAGATCCACAACTACCTATTTCTCTAATGTCAAGTTCTATTGCTTTCAAATTGTGTTAAAGTTTAAAGGTGAAAGAAATGAAAACAGAAGGAATGTTTCTTTTTTTACAATTTGTTTTGATTGAGTGATTAGCATTAATTATAAAAGTGCTGTGACAATTTTGAATGGCCTTTCCTCAAATAATATCACCATGACATTACTTATCATCTACTCATTACATGGGATCCATGAAATGTCATATCTTATGTCCTTTCTTCTATTTCTTGTCTTACGTAAACATTCTTTTGAAAAAACTTTTGAACTTTCCACACAGTGCTCCTGGATATCTGTGTAAGATGTTACACTGATCATTAAGCATTTTTTAAATGTTTCAATGATTCTTCCGTATCACTACTATTTTGTTGTTAACCATTCATTGCCTTTCTGTATCTAATAAAATACTTTCCCATTTGATTATTTCATTAATGTTCAATAAACACAGTATCCATGATATTGAGCCAGACATTGAGTTCTGGTACTTATTGAAATAATAACTTAAATTAATATAATTTTCAAGTAACTTGAAATAATAACAATAGGACATCAGATATATTGCTTTATTTATGTTTTCTTGTTAATGAAACAAATTACATTTTTATTTAGAGTGTTAGTAATTTACCAAAGATGTACAGTGATATAGAACAATTTAGGAGTGATGAAATATATTACAATTACTTTTTATTAAATGTTTTGAAATTTTATTCTTGCCTTTTCCCCCTACCTTCCAATAACTTCATTTTATTCAGAGATTCTTCAATCTCCTTCTGTCCATGCCAAAGGAAGTTCTTCAAGCGATGGATTGGATGGTTCTGAGAATACAGCTTCCAATGGAGGAGAAACTTGCCATGGTCGATTATTTAGGTAAACATCATCACCTATTTAATGTGGAATGAAGTTACATAATTATGATAATAAGTTATGGATTTATAATATTTGTCTTGGCAATTCAATAGATTTGTACTTATTTTTATATCAGAAGTTCTTACAGTAATGGTCTCAAACAATTTCGAACTTCAGAAATTAAATATATTTTTCCTCAAGTTACGTTATTTATTTTAAATGTAATTTCATTAATATCATATCTTGTAGTCGTATATTTTTTATAACATCCTTAAATTCATAATTGATATATCAAAACTTTTTGATAGAAAGTAAATTTACCAAGCCATCTGGTTGCAAGAACCCTCCGATGATTAGACATTGATGTATTCCCTGCTGCTCCATGCACAGTCAACATGTGAAATACAACACAATCGCCTGGCTGAGAGAGAATATTTTACTCGTAAAACTAAACTATAATAGTTATAAATTTTATTTTTACTATTCTATATTAACAAACTATCAAATAATCTTTTACCTCAACTGCCCATTGTAGAACTGGGTATTTACTCATTTCATCAACATTCAATGATTCATAATTCTGTGATTCTCCAGTTACATCATAGTCCTCAAGAGTAGCAAACATACGAGGTTTAAACCAACGATTCCATTTATGTGATCCACTAATAAGTTGAAGTGAAGACTCAAAAGGAATTGAGTCAACAGGCATCCATATGGAACAAACCTTGGTATAGACAATTAACTTAGTTATACAAATTTATTATATCTTTACTTAGAATTTTAGGCAGGTGTTCCAATAATCCTTTGAAGTTTCAAATACAGGTTTAGATTGAAGAAATTGGAATTCTTTGTATTAATTTTCCATACACCCCTGTACGGATTAAACAAATATTAAATGTAGGGGATCTTTAAGGAGATATGTATATCAATTCCAAACAAATTAGTCACTAAAAGTCACTCTTACGGAACATACTGTTAGTGTTAATTGATTTGGGAGGGAATTAGGGATAACTCTTGAGCTAAAAATTAATAAAATTGACAACAAAACAATTGACATTTTAACACCTAAAATATTACACTACTTAGTTTTAACAAATTAAAGAAAAAACAGAAAATAAATATGTGTTTTCAAAATAACGTATTTTGGTGCTGACTAAAGGAGGTGATCTCCAATAATGTTCCCATTTGCCAGGCAATGGCCAATAAAATGTAGAAAGAAACACTATGTATGTGGGGAAGATAAATATAAACAAAACTAGTGGTGCTATAAAATGGCAGAGACTTTTCCATTATTTCTATTTCCTTTAGTCTCTGCTTGCCACACATTCTTTCCAGCTGCCATCTATCGCCACCCAAAGTACATTTTTTTGGCATTATCTTAATTTTTCAAGTTTCCCAATTGTCGAGCGAAAATGTTATTTTAAGATTATTAAAGAACAGTAAAATCTCTTCCTAAATGGCAATTTTCTTTAAAAAATATGTAGCCGTTTTTAAAAAACTGGTGTTAAAGTGCTACTTTATATTCAAAATTTAAAGCTCATTTTCATAGAAAATTTTTGAGTTTTCGAAAAATTTCATTTGAAGTACTTTAACTCACAAAGACAATAATGTTTACAAATTGCTGAAAATGTACATATCAATGATATGAGAGATCTTCCAAAATAGTTACATTTGTATAATTAAAAAAACAAAAAAAAACAAAAAACAACAACAACAACACTGTAATGAACTTTATGTCATACTAAAGACTGCAATTAACACTATCCTTTCCAAATGTTTGAAGAAAAACTTTGGAGCCATTTTTGAGAAAATGGCTTTTGAGCGTTTCTGAAAATGCAGCGTTTTGAGCTAGTTTTCACAGAAAACGGTTTTTGAGAAACTTTATATGACATTATTTACAGCACATGGACTCGTAAATACAATAATGTGAACACATTGCTGCTAATATAAATATTAACAACATGAGAGACAAGTCAAAAAAATTACATTTTTGAAAAACAAAAGAATAGAGCAACATGGCATTATAGTCATCTTACAGAGTAGATTAAGCACTAACTGTGTCAAAAGTTTAAAGAAAATAAAATTTGAGCCGTTTTTGAGAAGATCTTGTTTTTGTAATATTTCAAAATTGCACAAATTGCATGCAATATTATGCAAAGACCACTAAAATTTTCAAAAAAGTTTGAATGACCTTAATGAAAGAACTCACTATGAAAAACAAATTTTATTTGGGGGTAAAATCTCTATCTTTAATTTTGTAGTTGTGGGAAGACACCAAAAAATACATACTTTTGAAATTTTTGAAAATTCACAGTTAATCGGATGTATGCCATATTTGTAAGTGTATGTCACTCTATTCTTACAAGAAATTTAAAGAAAAAATTTGGCGCAGTGTTTGAGAAAATTTTGAAAATGTCGTGAGGGCTTCATATAAAGTACACCCAAATTTTGAATAATGTTTTACAATTTCTCAAAGTTTTGACTCAAGTCAGACGGACAGGTGTTTCTTTAATTTGGAAAAAATACTACGCTTGGTTTAGGTTCACAGGCACCAAACAGACTGACGTTTTGAAGAAAAAAAACACACTATTGGTATTAGGACCCCAAAATATGGCTATTTCCGTCGAAATCGATTTTCCTCAGCATTACATAACTTTCCCTATACTATGAATATAACTCCATACATACGTACATATACAGGAAAGTTAAAATGTGAGAGTTGGAGGATGAATGTATAAAATGTGAAGCATTATGACATAATAAATGAGATGTTTTTTTTTTAATCTTTAAGTTAATGATCAAGTAAATATAATTTAGAAATTTGAAATGTTCCTGTTAGATAACAAGTTTTGCATTAATAAATGTTAGAAAATACCATATTTAAAGACCTTAAAGGAAATGTTGGAAATCATACATGTGATTTCAATGTTAAATTCTTACTTGACTGCCATTTATTGGATAATAAGGTTGATCTTGATGCCATGGTGTTTGTTTTTCCGTTCCTGGTGATTTTTCCAAGACATGCTCATGGAAAAACCTCACTTCCTAGAATGAAGAGAATGTGTTGGAGGTGTTACCCTTTTTTACTTATTGTTGCCCAATAAAATGGAAATAAGTACTTTGAATAATGTCATTTCATTCTGAATTAATGCAATAATTAAACATACTATTCCTTACCTTATCTATTATTAGTGTGAATAAATCTTCAAATATTGTATCAAATTTGAGGGTTAAATTGTTAATTTGTGGTAACAAATCAAGTTATATTGTTATACTAAATGCAAAACATACTGAAGTGTTAAAATATACCTTTGACTGAGTTAATCTGGCAGCAATCTCTGCAGCAGGAGATTTTTCAATGTACTCTGTAAACTCTGATATTCTTTTCCAGTTGCAGTAGTCATTAAAGTACACTCCACTAGATTCTGATGTCTAGTAACCATATATTCATACAGGACACATAAATTAAATAATTGTAATTTATACATCAAAAAGATATGTGAACAAATTCTTTTATCTGAATATATGAAAAAATAAATTGACTTTTGTATAATTCTCTGGAAAGTTACCTTTAGCCACTGAGCATATTTACTTGGATTTTGCAAATTCTTTTTAATTCCCTTCTGAACAGTCTGTATCCAGTATGGAGAAAAGACGCCTCTTAGTACTACTGCTCCTTCATTTTGAAATTTATGAATTGTTTCTTCTGTCAGAATAGAGGTAGTAGTAGAAGTAAACATTTCTACAAAATTGTGTTGCATATAATTGGAGAGTGAGAATGGATATATCAAGTGGAATAAGGGGTCATAAAAAACGACTCGAAGATAAGGAATGTGCTCTTTTATTTTCTATGAAGAAATGTGGCATACTCTTTAATTTCATGGTTACATAATGTCAGTAAGATGGTTTCTTTTCATATACATATCTTTGATTCCGGTAAATAAGCTAATCAGTCATAAACTTAATTTTTTCAGGAGAGCAAAGTTATTGATTAGTTTTCAGAATTTTCAGTTCATTTCCTAAATAGGATCCCTCCTTCAGTTTTATATTCGAGAAAAATGTATCCACCATGCGCATGATTGAGGAAAAAATGTTTTGAAAGTGCCGCCGATGTACAAATGCTCAATAGAATTGTAATTTCGTTAATATATTTATCGTTCTCGCCTCCGCGTAAAACTGAATGCACTTCAGGGAGCAAATCAGATAAAACTGTGCAGTGTGCAGTAGTTTTCCGATCTGTGGGGAGAGTAGTATTTACTCTGAACTACACAGTCAGATAATAGATGGACTTTGAGGAAAAGTTAGTGGTCTACAAATACTAACTTCCTATTGTCTTGGAAGCATTGTCACGAGATGAGCGTTCCAGAACGTAAACAAAATGTTCCGGAGTCTGGGAAGTTGTGGATCAGTTGTGTTAAAGCAGTCAAGGCTAATAGGCAAAAAGTTATTTTAAATCATATTGATTTGGAAACTCCAAAATGGATTCAGTTTTGGACCCCCGTAGTAATTCAGAACCTTATGAAAGAAAACAGGTATTATCATACTCGTGGATCATCTTCATGATATTTGTAAGCTTGAACTCTGCAAGCGGTTTCGAAACTGACAGAAATTACGTTCTTCACGCGAAACACAAGTATTCGCATCGAAGTAAAATGCTTCCTGTTGTTGTGAATACGTGGCCCTTTACGAACGCTACTGCGAAAGGTTTTAAATTATACTTATCGATGATTATATCAAAAGTAGTTAAATCAGTCACTTTCTAAGACGTTTGTTTCAGCTTGGGAAACTGTTTACGACAAGAAGGGGACAGCATTGGATGCCGTAGAAAAAGGGTGTACGGCTTGTGAAGAAGAACAATGTGATGGAACAGTGGGATATGGTGGTAGCCCAGATGAAAATGGTGAAACTACTTTGGATGCAATGATAATGGATGGGTAAGATACGTTTGGGGTTTATCAGAATGTATTTATAATATGTAAATAAGTGTGTTAATTATTGATGGGAATTTTTAGAACAACAATGAATATGGGAGCTGTTGCTGCACTTAGAAGAATTAAAAAAGCCATTTCTGTTGCAAGGCATGTGTTACATTACACTGACCATTCAATGTTGGCTGGCAGTCAGGCTACAGAATTTGCTGTTCGCATGGGCTTTAAAGAAGAATCATTGCAAACTGAGATATCTCGAGACATGTGGCGCAAATGGAAAGGCCAAAACTGTCAACCTAATTTTTGGATGGTATTATTGTAATTAACTAGTTAATTAGAGATGATTCAATTTAATACAATGTATTATGATAAATTAAAATTATTTTTGATGAAAATGTGATGAGAGTAGTTTTTGTTTTTAGAATGTTTCACCAGATCCTCGAAGTAATTGTGGTCCGTACACTCCAAATCCAACAACTTCTGTAACAAGTAAGGCAACCAACAATGTGTTTGATGATAAAAATCATGATACTATAGGCATGGTTGTAATTGACAGAGATGGCCATATAGCAGCAGGCACTTCTACAAATGGAGCCAAACACAAAATTCCTGGGTAATTATAGTCGCTCATATAAGATGATTTTAAGTACAAAAACATTTGGAAATTGAATTTCTATACCAATGCAGGCGTGTGGGAGACTCTCCTATTGCTGGAGCAGGTGCATATGCTGATGGAAGTGTTGGTGGTGCTGCTGCAACTGGAGATGGAGATGTTATGATGAGATTTTTACCGAGGTAAGAAAAATTGTAGCTTGTGGTGCAAATTGTAATGAAACGTAGTTAATTGAATGGATGAAAACCAGAATGGTATAAGTGACATTTTAAACATTCTGAGAAAAATGTATATATTTTAAGCTGTATTTCAGCGACAGTGAATTTTCGAGGTTTTAATGAACAATTAAAATACCCTAGTTTTAATGATGAAACCATGACTTTACAGTGATATTGACTTAAATAAAGAGATCTCTCAGAATTTATAAAATGTCACTTACACTGTTCTGTTTTTCATTGACTCACTTGTTTTAATCAATATTGCAACATTTTAATCCTTTCAGAGATATTAATGGCATTCCTATTTTTACCAGTTTTGTTGCAGTTGAAGAAATGAGACGTGGATCAACACCACAAAAAGCTGCAGAAGCTGCTATACATCGAATTATCCCACATTACCCCAACTTTTCAGGTGCTGTAGTGACTATACATAAAGATGGCGAATATGCTGCAGCTTGCCATGGAATGGACGAATTCAAATATTCTGTTTGTAACCCAACTTTAGGAGAAGTCACTGTGCATTCTGTCCCGTGTTTGAAAACTAAATAAAACTTCATTAGTTTGCTTTTAATATAAATTGAGGAGGAATCTGAATTTTGAATACATTGAATACTCTGTCTAATGGATTGTTGAAAAAATGGCAATTTAAAACAGCATTTCCTGAAAAACAGACAGCTATTGAAGAGAATATTGCTAAGTACAATTTTAAAAACTTGGATGTAAAAGGCAAGGAAAAAGGTTGGATCACTTGCACAAAATGCTATATTAACTATCCAACAATCTTGAGCAATAATGAAATTTAAAAATACTTCTTTGTGCATTGGATTCATGCATAATAAGTCACTTGTAGGAACAATTTGTAAATTTTTAATTCTGAATATAGTTGGAGTGGCTCCTTGCTCCTCAAAAGTTGATAATTAATGATTTGAGCTAGGTTTGCTTCTGTATGTTGTCTTTGCTTCATTTCTTTGTGGAATAATCAGGCTAATATTTGCAGATTATGTCTATGAAAGCCTGAATAGATAAATCGCCATAAAATTACACTTCAGTAAATATTGTAACAGAAAAAAGACCAAGTTAATTTAGTTTAGAACCTAAATTTTGATACCAAAATTAGGACAGAAAATTTTTGAAGCATCCAAATTTCCAAACTACAAATTTTGTAAATGTAATTCTTACAGAATGAATGTTGACAAAGGTAAAAGAAAGTTTATTTTATGATACTTGTGTGCTGAATGATTTATCATTTTTCTGACTGAAAAGTTCCTGATCTAATCTCAATCCTTTATCCTTTGCAACCAACTCCATCAAAATCCACAATATTGCAATTCTGAACAGGTCTTGCATTTAGAAAAACGTTACAACATAATTGGTGTACTTCTGTTGCAACACAAAGTTTTAGACTGGATTCATGTAATAATGTTTATTGTAATAACATGCGGAAAGAAACTTTTACAACTGGCTATTTCATAACTTTAATATTTTATAGATACGCTTAGTGGAAGAGAACATGCAATTCAAGAAAAGAACTGTACCTCCTGGGAGTCATACTCTCCCCAACGAATGTCCATAATCATAAACACCTAGTATCTTAATAACTTGACTTTACGCAACATGACTTCCAAGGATTTAAAAAATTGTCTCTAGTTAGCTATGCCACCTCTTCCAAAAATTCACACAAAGCAATATCTTCTTCCATTCATTAAAACTTTTTCACTTGGCAAAACACATCTCCACAAATTCTTTCAAGGTAAATTGTCACTAAAACAGGCACAAGTCTTGCTCCATTATGAAGTAACGTTTTATGATACAAAGCCCCTAGGTTCACCTAGAGGAACTTAACAATCCACTATATTTAGAATGAACTTTTGAAGATCCTTCCCAATATAAGAAATTGTTTTGCTTTAAAGTAATATATTAACACTTGAATTTAGTAAAATGCTGCCATATTTAAATTCATATAACCACACGAATTCTGAGTAAAACTGACTGACCCTGCAGGTATAGTAACAACGCTAGAACACTGAATACCTTGTGTAGGTCCTGAGACATTTACTATCGGACTTAGAACATTGTTTTGAGTGGAAAAAGTATGTAAATTGAATTGCAGAGCATGTTGTGATTGATTAGCAGAATCAGGTCCAGGTGGTATTTGAGCAATGTCTTGGAGACTTACAGGTAAAATATACATGTCAGCACTTTGCCCAATGTTAATATTTTGTAAATCTGCAGCTGGAGTTTCAACAAGTGGTGGAACTGAATCGATGGGTAGATCTGGTTCAACAACTTTCATGCTAATACAAGTGTCTTTTTCTCTGCTGATCTTCTTGGGTGTTCTCTGCTTTCTTTCAGATTTACTTCCCTGACTATTTGAGGGTGCTTTTGAGAGTTCTTTCATATGCGATTTCTTCTTGAAAGACGTCAAATCATTAATTTTAAATTCTTCATGAAACACTTTACTATACAACCAATGTTTAACAATGGGAACATATTTTTTCCTTTTATTTAGTGTTTCAGATGAAGTTTCATTCTCAGTGCAAAATTCAGATTCTGCAGGTTGATCTGAAATAGTTATACAGTAATCAGAAATTTTACATGATAAATATCCTATTTTGTTTTCCTTGCACAAGAGTTTAGGAGATCAAAACGATCATAAATTATTAACAATAATAAAAACTGCATAAACAAGAGAAGAGTGAATGATAAAAACTACAAGAAAATTACACAATCAAGCTCTGAGTGTCCTGCATTTGATAATAATTATCTCCATCTCTTTTTATCTGCAGTGAAAATAATTATCTCCATCTCTTTTTATCTGCAGTGAAAATAATTATCTCCATCTCTTTTTATCTTCCTAAGTAGGATTTTTATTGCAAATTCTCTCTCTTAAACCTTCATCAAAGGAATTTCACAGCATTAAAGTAGTTTCAGAGCAGGAAATTAAATAAAAAAATACACACACTCATCACATCCAATTAATGTGAGGACAGACCATGTCACTCTGTGTGGTCATGTCTCCCAATAACATCTTATCTCGCCCCGTCCCATCAATAATATATTGTTGTGAATGTGAAAAGCAAATGTGCAAACTAGTTGAGTCATGAAAATCCCCACGAGAAGTTTCTTTGTCATGCCTAATTAAAAGGACACCATAAAGATAATCCATTCTCTCGTTTTTACCTCATTCTTATTATTTATACAAATCCTTTACAGAATAAGGTAAAAAAAAAAAAAAAATTAAGAGTGTTAATTCAACACACTAACGATTCTTAAATTATAGTTAACAAAAATACAACTTCATATACCTAGAAGCCCCAAAGAATCAGCAACTGAAGCAATTGGATACTCAGACAAATCCATTGTGGTAGAATATGTATGATTATGGTGCTCATCAGTTAATTCAGCATCTGTGAAATCTGCCATAAGTTGACACTCTGTTTCTATATTCATTCCATTAGCATCTTTAGAAATATCAATTTCATCTTTCTCAGAAAACATGTCCTTGTAGTTGGGGTCATGTTTTGCTAAGTAATCTTTCCACATTTTCGTAATGTTCAAATCAGGCCCACTGTGTTTTTCTTCACGCAAGAAGCCACAAACCTAAAAGTACAATAATATTTAATACATATTTACACTTATATATAAGTTCATTATGTAAAAATTTTATTAACTTACTTGATCAGAACTTATGATAGAATATATATGATCCTTAATTTGACTCAAGGTGTCTTCAGGTATTTTACGGGGCCTGTTACTGTGTTTACCTCTGCCATCCCGGGGGAACATTACATTTTGATCTTGTTTCTGACACAAAATTCTTATCTTATGAGGAGATATACCATGAATATGAGCAAAAGCTAATCTGCATATCTGAACTTCTTTACCACGTATTCGTACATAATATTTGTAACTACATGTTCGCCTGTCACTTTCCTTGCACCTTTTACGAGCAATGTCATGCTTCCTTATAAGGCCGAATAGATATGCATTTTGTTCGTCATGACTATTCAACGAATAGTATCCATCAAATAACTTATTTCTCTGGTCTTCTGGCACAAGACTGTAACACTTCCTGCGGCATTTGCAATCTTCCCCAATTTTCCGTTCGTTAACGACGTCACCTCTGCTATTTACGTACTCTTTGCCAGCAATTCGAAGCCGCTTCCTTTTCTCACGTTTCCACTCTGTGAATGAATAAACATTTATTAAATGGAAAAGTTTTAAAGACCATACGCATCAAGTTAAAAAACTGAATTCTCACCCGACGGATTCCTCGCTCTTTTCTTGGATTGCTTCTTTTGATTTCCACTTTCCTTTTCATCCATTACCCTCAATTTAAGTCGGTAATTATTTCCTTATATTATAAACCACATGCAATACTCTACATCATATACATCAATTTGTAACGTCAGTATTTGTCACTTGCCGTTTATCGCGTGCGCAATTCTTGCATCGAATTTCTTTTGAGTTGTGTGCCAATGTTACAGATCAACAGAACAGAGCTCTTGTTACAAACCGCTACCCAACAATTTTCGTAATTAAATATATTATATCAAAGCTTGAAGCTGTAAAGTTCAAGCCTATAATTGCGTGAAAAGGCATTTAAATACTCTATAGATTTAGGAATTTTTTTCCATGAGAGTATTGCGTAATATATAAGGCCTTCGTTCAACATTTGTCATATTGGCTAACCGTAACTGATCTCACGCAGTGTATCATGGAGTACGTACAGTGAACGAAAAATCAAAATAATTTTCTGTACAAAGAATTTGCACTTCCATGTGATTCATTCCAACCATCTGACAGCGTTGTCCTCTCCTCAGGTGTCGTCACTGAGAAGGGGCGGTGAAATTGCGAGCTATAAGCACTATCACAGGAAAAATTAGGTATGGTCTCTTAATTGTTTTTCAATGTCTAAGATGTTCCTGTGTGGTATTGCTGTGATTCAACCTAAAAGTGAGCCAACTTGTTTTAAAAGCACTTCGGGATGATTTTTAAAAGTATCTGTGGGTCTTTTGACATATATATGATTTCATCGTTTTATGTCAATAGCAAATGGTCGTGACTTGTTGGGTATAACAGTAGAACAGTAGTTGGGTATAGGAATAACAGTAGAACTAAGAGTGGTTGTCTGGAGGTCTGGATTGAGTTTTTGTATCAATGTTTTTTTGATTATTCTTCTGAGTTGTTTTTTTCTTGAAAGAGTCTTACCTAGTGACAAATATTGTGTGGGATGACATAATGTGTGAATGATAAGGGCAGTATTGTAAGAGTTCTAGACTTATACTTTGATTTTTCTATAGTGGCTGATGACATTAGACCATTGTTACACATTGTAAAGATAGTATCTTTTTAATTAATTCATGAATGTCCTTCTCAATGGTGATCGTGGCCTCAAAAATGTACTTACCACTGTCAAAAGGGTTCATTTTTATAAGGCAGAAGATGTAACAATGACCTAATATCATTGGCCAATATTGAAAAATTGAAGTATTGATACTGATCTTACATTCATGAGAAAACTAAAAATAGTGCTCTTTTTACAGCCTTGAAAAAATGTTTTGAACTTCAAACAACACAGTGTTCTCTATGATGAAGGCCTTTATCTCCAAATCAAATGGAAAATGTGTTGTAAACTAATACTTGTAAAAGACTAACAATTTTCTGAGTAAATGCTGTTTTTGTATTGCTAATAAAAAAACTGCCTGCACCATAGACATACTTCCTGAGTCTCCTGTTTAAAATAATCAGATTGGTTCTGTTATCAGTTGGAGAAGCTTCAGGTCCATTTGTGAGCATATCTAACTGTAAACTAAATTTACCCTGAGACATCAATGATGCCATGTCTTCCCACAAATATTAAATAATTAACCTGTATAATCTCATAGACTAGTATGTAGATGGAGGGTTAAAATAAGATTATATGCACTAAATTGTGTAATAAAAGTAACACACATGCATATGTTTGTGTCTACATGCCTGTTTATTTTTTATTTCCCAAATCGACTAAACACCTACTTAAAAACATTAGTGATGTAAGAATGCAATAAATATTAATATTAAATTGATATTTTTTATTTTATTGTACAGTGCAAAATGCCTTTAGAATGGCTCTTTGGAAAGCGCATGACTCCAGAGGAGATGTTGAGAAAAAACCAACGTGCCTTAAACAAGGCTATGAGAGATCTGGATCGTGAAAGAATGCGAATGGAACAACAAGAAAAGAAAATTATTGCAGATATAAAGAAACTTGCCAAAGAGGGACAAATGGTAGCATTTACTCAGATAAGCTGCTTCTAAATGAGCCAATTGTTGTCAAATAAAAGTGATAATTTTTTTGATATGGCAATGTTGTAGGATGCTGTTAAAATTATGGCAAAAGATTTGGTCAGAACACGTCGTTATGTCAAAAAGTTCATGCTAATGAAAGCAAATATTCAAGCTGTGTCTTTGAAGATTCAAACATTGCGATCACAAAATGCAATGGCTGAAGCAATGAAGGGTGTCACAAGAGCAATGCAAAACATGAATAGGTTTGTTGTATAGTTTTTTATTGTTATATATAAATATATATATTTATTTATTTATTTATTTATTTATTTATTTATTTATTTATTTTGAAATAGCATATCATTAACATTAATTTTATTTGGCAGGCAATTAAATCTTCCTCAAATTCAGCGTATCCTTCAAGAATTTGAGAAACAATCTGAAATAATGGATATGAAAGAAGAAATGATGAATGATGCTATTGATGATGCAATGGAGGATGAAGGAGATGAAGAAGAAAGGTAAGTTGTTTCAAATAATAGTTCAAAAACTTGAATGTCAGTTACAGAGGTTCTGAGAAAATGTGCATGTTGCACCTGCCAATCTGCTTGTCAAGGGTTGGTATCAATACGTAGTGGAGTGTTTATTATTGTCTATTTTATTTATTTATTTATTTATTTGCATCTAAACAGGCAATTGCCCAATATTACAGGTTTATACAATATTTATAATTTGATACTAAAAATAACGAAAATATAAAAATACATTTTAATTGTAATCACAGAAATATGATTCTGCCATATATGATATGATTTTGATGTAAATGTTCTGGACTGTTATCACATCTTGCAAATTTTAATTAGCAACTGGGTTTAGCAGTTTGGCATCGAATACATTAAAATTTATTTCAGCCAGTAAATTCATTAATATTATGAGGAGGTCCTTTTAGCTCCTTATGTACGAGTGTTAAGTATTGATGAGCATAGCTGTGTTTGAACGTGTGGTGATGTCGAGTATGACTCGAAAATCAATTATTTGTATACTGTGTAATTAATTTTCTAGAAATAATCAAAATGCATTTTACATAAATAAAAATTCTTTTTGAAATGCAGTTTGCAAATAAGTGTTAAGAAAGAATTTGGCCTTAATACTTTATTTTCATTATGTCAAACAATTATTCCAATTAACTAATTGAATAAATGTGATAAGTACATTGATACCAATTTGAAGGGAATATTTACTTTGCATAGGGAGAAATATAATTGGATTCGGTTCAGAAATTTGAGGTAGAGGTTTTGGTATTAAAAATATTAATAAATAATAATTAAATAATCAATACTAAAATTAATTGTGAAGTTTCCAGGGTAATTCTGCCATATATAGCCGAATTAAGTCTTTTTATGCTAGTCGAGTGATCTTCAATTTTTGGGGTACTACTTAATATGAATACTCCATCCTACTCCATAGTACACATGCATATTCCATAGAATATTTTCAAAATTTTCTCAAACATGGTTGCAAACATTATGTATAATTTCTTTCCTCAAGTGGAGGACAGTGCATTTATAAGTGAATTAAACATTTTCATTAATATATCTTGAATTTTCAAAAACATAATAAATTTAACTTTATTCAAATTTGTCCCACACCTTCATTATTGAAGCTAGATATTTTTTTCTTAAATCAATCTATTCGCCAATGTTAGATTTTTTCATACTTTTATGTACAGATGTTTCAAAATCTCAGTAGTTTTTGTATCATTTTGATTTGAGTCATGACAGTTTTACCAAAATTTCTAAACAAGATTTTCTCAAAAACTGCTCCGTTTTTTTTTCCAAAGTTTTGAACAGATAGATTTAATTTTGAACAGATGCATTTAATCATATAGATACACATCATTTTGCTTAAACCTTGTATTAAAAAAACTTAAGCAGATGTAAATTTTCTTAACGTATCACATCACACTGTGTTAACATTTACATTACAGATGTATTTTATAATTTATTGACACAAATGGTCATTAATGAAGTTTCTCAAAGTTTTTCAAATGTACTGGAGCTCAAATTGGCACATTTTCAAAAATGCCAAAATGACATTTTCTCAGAAATGGCTCCAAATTTTTTGTGATAATTTTCAAATGAAAAGAAACAATTCTTCTATAATGTTCTGAAAGAGTCTATTAAACTTGTAGGGGCTGCAAAATGGAGAAAACAGTAAAAACATGTTTCTAGTGTGTTTTAAACACAATAGCTTTCGATATAAATATTACTGGAAAGAAAACTAAACCATTATGCTATTTGAGAGGATATATTAATATTCTACAACATTAGTGATACAGTTTTTAATTTTGAGAAATTTGTTCATCTAACAGAATTGGAGAATTTAAAAAATATTTTGAGTGTTGTTGCTATAGCAACAAATACTGCCAAATGTCATTCAGAAAAAATAGGTTGAATGTTACTAAGCAAATTGTTGCCCATGTATGTAACAAGAATGATCAGAAAATAGACATAGGATGTAGGGATCAAGTCGCCATGGAGCTAAAGAGCAAGGCCGGATTCATCCCTTGTCTGGAGGAGATTTCTAGTAGGTGACTGCTCTGATCAGAAGTTTTCTATGCTTTCTCCTGTCCACACCAGATGAATGCCGGAGCAGTACTGTAACGAACAAGCCACTGCAATCTTTCCTTCCTCATCTTTGTCTGTAATCTCCATCTCTCTCTGTAAATACCTACACATGCACACATCCACACACCACAATATTTATGCACATACATCACATACATATACATACATCTCACACACTACACTTCACATAAACTCACACACTTCATTTCACATAAA